GTATAAAACTTATTCTTCACAACCCTTTAAAACAATTATAAACAAATCATAACCCTTTGCATTCATATAATCTCTTTAATTATTATTAATAAATTTATTGTATGATATTGTATTAATTCAATAAATTGATTTGGAGTCTCTAAAGCATAATTTCTGAAATATCTTTGAGCTATCTTTATGTTTATTTTATATTTATTTTACATGTTTTATATTAAAAATAATCTTTGATGTTATTGTAAATCCTTACCTGTGATTTCTTGAATAATTGTCTTAGTATTATTTACCCTTTTGAGATTTTTATTGAAACTATGAAACTATCATAACAATATAAATAATTTACATATGCTCAATATTTATCTATTGATCTAATTATTTGTAAAATAGCTCAAATAATTAAAATGGAATTTTTCAGATCAGTATTTATCTTATGAGGTAATGGGTTGTAATTTTACAGAAAATTTCAAAGGGATATTATTCAGACTTTCAATTAGATGGCAAAACAAGTGTTATTTTAGATCAATATATAAATATCAAAAAAATCTTGTAACTATTTATTAAAGAAGAAACAGTACCAGTGGAAATATTCTAAAGAAATAATAAGTGTAGAGTTATCTTCAATTATTATCTATCAGTAGAGAGATGCTATATATGAGAACTCATAAGATAAACTATAAGATGCAAATTTATGGAGATATTTGAGCATATTGATATAATAGTAACAACTAACAGATATAATACAACTTTATATATAAGTCATTTTGAAGGAAAGAAAGATCTGTAGTGTATACAGTATTCTATAGAATTTCATTTCAAAATAGTGTATTTGATAATATGTACAAGTTTAACCGAACTTTAAATATAGGTTCATGCTTAAATAAATTTTCAGAATTGAGACAATTAGAAATTGTGAATATTTGAGAATGTCAGATATAAGATAGAGCTTTAGAGATGATAAATAGTTATGTCTAATCTAATAGTCAAACACATTTAAATTTGGTTTTAAAATTTCTTAATATAATAAATGCAAAAGAACAAATTTTATTCTTGTCATATTAATAGCAATAGGGATTGTCATAAAAATGTATTTCATTTTATTAAGTATTCAGAGACTTAAAATTTTTAGTAATAAAAAATCTACTATTTATCAAATATGTATACTACAATTAATTTTAGATAAATACTGTAATCCTGATCATTTTAAATAGATACATAGAAAAAGTCTAGCAATATGAGATTCACTAACTTTATATAAATGAAAGTTGTGAATTTTTTTTGATGCAACTATTTGAATGCATTATATCTATTTAAGACCCAAATTTGATCTTAGATTTCTAGAATTAATAAATATAATGTGAAGATTTTAAATTCTTAAAAATAATAGTTTATTAATTTTTTTATAAATAATAAGTTTTAACTTTGATCAATTTTCTAAAAAAAAAAAATTCAATTTAGAGTGCTAAAAGTATTTTTAAAAAGTCCAATTTAATAAATTAACAAATAGGAGCTTTTATTATATTATACTTGTTAATTGCTTTTTGATCACCTAGCATTATCTGATGAATTTATATAGATCTATTATTATATTATGCGTAATATCTAACTTTTAATTAAATCAGCTTGCTGGCTTTTAATAAGTCATTAAATAAATAATTGGAGAAAGAAATGATAAATGAATTAAACAATATAATTTGGACTTACTGTATATATTTAGTATTGCAAGAAGTTTTAATAATTAGAAAATGATTATTACCATTCCTTAAAGTGCAGTGTGTCTTTTGAAAAATTGACAAAGTATTTTTAAAATTTGAATTTATTATTTTTTAAATTTTTCTAACTTAATAAATTTTAAATTGCAAAGTTGTCTATGAAAATCATTAAAAGGTAACTTTTTAATAAATTTAAAGTGATAAATCATCATCTTTCAGTTTATTTCTCAGTTTTAATTCAACACGATAGTTTATATAGTTATATCAACTATTTAAATTATATGGGAGTGTTTCTAGGAAAATCAGGTTCTGAATACATTTTAATCTAATAACATCAAAAACTAAAATGTAATAAAAATCTCAATTTCGCTAAAAAATTCTCAGAACCTGATTTTCCTAGCAATCAACCCATATAATTAACTTTTAATTAATGCTATTTGCTATCTATCAAGATAATTAAAATTTCACAGCCCGATAATACTTATATTGTAAATAAAAAGTATGCATCATCAGATCAATGAAAATTTTATCAATTTTACAGAAATGAATTATTTTAGTTTTGTTAACTTTTGATATTTTGTAAATAAATTTACAGTAAATATGAAATACCAAATAAAGTTTATGATATTTTACGCTATTATATGAATTAAAACTTAATAATCTTAATAAGAAAAGACTCATAAATAAACAAAATTGCTTAATATTTAAAAAAAATATTTTAAATTTGCCAATACGATTATTATTTTCTCTTTTTTTTAATCTGACTATCGCTTTACTTACACTTGAAAATTATCAGGTTTGTATCACAAAATTTCATTATAATTAAGTCAGCTATCTTTTTGAATGTCCTTTGTTTATAATCATATTTCCTCTCTCGTTGCTTCTTAGTTATTTTTAAGCCATGTAATTGATTATTGAATTGCATCTTCAAGTTTCATCTTACTTGCTAATCCCGCGTTCTTACGAGAATATGTTTACATTCCAAAAACTTCCAGATTCCAACATGTCCTATAGATTTTGCAAATGAACCGTGGTGGTAACGGGAAACGGTTGTTAAGGCATGACACTGGAGAAATCTAAGAAAAACATACGGTATTGTCATGTAAGTATACTTACTTAGTTATCGTCGTCTTGT